TGGATAATACGCTATGATAGGTGGATAATACGCTATGATTGGCGGATAATACGCTATGATTGGCGGATAATTCGCTATGATTGGCGGATAATACGCTATGATTGGCGGATAATATGCTATGATTGGCGGATAATACGCTATGATTGGCGGATAATACGCTATGATTGGCGGATAATACGCTATGATTGGCGGATAATACGCTATGATAGGCGGATAATACGCTATGATAGGCGGATAATACGCTATGATAGGTGGATAATATGCTATGATTTTGGGTATGTAGTATATTATAATACGTGGATGTGTATGATAACCATGTATATTTTTCAGGGATTGGCCAGTGCATATGAAGTACAAAAGACCTCATATTACACTCAATCCACAGGGACAGGTACAACATTTATTCATTTTTAGATCTAATTTCGTAGTTTCAGTAAACATAGTTGTAATTTTTGTTAAAAATGATTAAAAACTACCAACACAATTGCTCTGATACTTAGAATGCAAAAGTGTTTGGTGAACTGCTGTCAGATTTCTAACAAGACTAAAAAACAATTACTATTGCTATAGCAACAGACAAATGCAATTTAAATGGTTGTGATGTGGCAAGAACATTATGGTAACACTAACCATGACAAATAGCTAATATATTATTGTAAACCACATTCATTGTCTTGAAAAAGACGGTATTCAAAGACGGTGGAGCTATTTTGAAATTGATCATCTGGTCACTTGTCACTGAGGTATGGTTGTACAACAACCAATCTATATAAACATATGTTTTTTTAATCCCACTGAAATAAGAGTACAATGTCAATGCTGCTATGTATTTCATAAATTGTAATCAAAACGTAATCTGATTGTGTGTCTGGTGAAAGATTGACAGTTCATATTGTCTGGGTATGAACAAATTACATCCAATTAAGACTTTAATTATTCCTATTTATTATGTTGTTTTATTATGACAGCTCCAAATTATGATATATATTTTTTCACCAAATATAAAACACATTATTTGAAATATTTTTATCTTGATAGGTTATTGGTGTTTTTTGGGCACCTCCATTTGAAGCCCCATTGCAAGTGGCTGAAGTGAGTTACTGGTGGTATCAATCTAGTCATAAGTCAAACACATATGGATATGTTTGAATGTATTATGAATGTATATCTTATTTGAACAATGTCTGCATTTACATCACATTCCAACACTTCTCACAAACTGTGCTAGCTAACTAAAACTAGCATTTTGGGATTTCTCTCACTAAATTATTACCGTAAAATCTGTATTAGAAGCAGCATTACTAATAGAAGTCGCACCCATTTTTTTTTAACAATTGAGAACCAAAAATTCACCATTTCTCATATGTGTAGATGCTCTAATAGAAGCCGCATCCCCTCTGTTGCATTGTACTATTTTAATAGAAGCCACGGATTGTAATACAGATTTGACAGTACTACAAGTTGAAAATATGTACTTTGATAGTATTACTTAACCTCTGCATTTATTGACTCCCGTGTGCGAAGCACAAAAGGGAGTCTTTGCAGTTACCCTGTCTGTATGTATGTATGTATGTATGTATGTATGTATGTATGTACAGTCAAACCTCGTTAGTGCGAATATCAAGGCCCCAGGTGAATATATTCGTTATAACCGGTGTTCGTAATAACCGATCACCACTAGAGGGCGCTTTACAGAAACAAACTAATTACCATAAGTCAGGGTAAACAAAACTATGGCGCCATTTTAAACACTAGACCAAGCATTAAAAACACACAAATAGTATTGAAATAAACGTTGTCATGTTTATTAAAATAATATTAAAATGGAAAATACAAATGTTGAATTCGATGCTTCATTCTCTGTCCTAAATCTTCGGCCTTTGCCTGGAGGATAGGACCGCTGATTAAGGGACATTCATAGAACGGGCACTGGTAAACCATTTCAGCAATGCCTGCTCAACGTCGTCGACTGCTGAAAACTGCATTCGCTTCCGGCACGGCTCAATTTTGTTGTGTTCGAACATCTTCAAAACATCAGTTTTTTTCTTTAAAATCGTTGACAGTGTACTGGGTTTAACATCAAATTTTCGACAGACATCGCCGTGACGAATGCCCGACTCAATCGCTTTGATCATTTGGACTTTACAGTCCAACGACAAGGCACGCCGTTTGACACGAGTTGACATTTTGAAGTCAGGACGGAAACTGGCATCTCACTCGTAGTCGCCGTAATTTATCTAAAATTTACAGCGTCCATGCTTCACACTTTTTTATTGTGAATCTTAAAATTAAAAACTCGAGCAGCAAGGGCGTCGAAAGTGACTAGACACTGGAAGTCACGTACACAAAAGATTTTCACGCCCAGTGAATGGCTACATTGTTTTTATTTTACGCTGCACAGCTCAAGCCCACTGCCAACAGCGGAAGCGTAACACCGTGTATTTGGCGGTTCGTTTTAGGATTTCGCAGCTGTTTGAGCGAATGAAATGTTCGCTATAGGTGTTACAGACCATTGTTTTTCAGAGAAAATCCTTTCGTACTAAGCGGGTTTTCGTAATAAACGAGTTCGTTCTAAGCGTTGTCAATTACCATAGGGATAATGGATTTTCAAACGGGACTT